AGCTGGGCATCATCTAGTTCTTCTGGTCTCAGGCTGATGAAGTCTCTGGTTTATGTGTATACACAATTAATTTAAAAAAAGGGAAGTGGTTAAGAATAAAGAAGGAAGACAATTAAAAATTCTAGCATAAAACCTGAAAAAAAAAAGTGTTTAAGTCTGGCTTTAAATAAAAGTTTTACTCAGCTCAGCCAGTAAGCCTCTCAGGTCAGCACCTGTTCTTCTAACTCGAAGGGGATATTACACTGACCTACAGATAGGTAGATGACACTTTCCCATCGTAGCACCCAAGAGATTTCTCCTTAATCAGTTTTGGCTTTGGTTTCACACAGTTCCAGCAGCCCAGCCTCTTCTTGTGTTGCAGCTATCACTGCTTAACGGAATGGCTTTGCCACCTTTCATCATTATCTCAGGAAATAAAATAATCAGGACACTGGCTCATGGTGTCCTTCCTTAAACTTAATCCAGGCTAGTTACACACACCACATCCATGTTTCAGAAAAGAAACTGGTTGGTCCATCTTCAACCAGAACACAGCATCACTCACAAGCCCCAAAGAGCCTCAAAATTACACATTTAGGGGTAACTGCGTTTTAATGTTAAGCTGTCTCAAGTTATGTTACAATAATTAAACAAATAACAACAATAACAAGAAGACAATGGTCGAAGCTCTTTGGGAGCTAAAAACGAACAAGCAGAAAAACAACTTTTAAAGTCGTAGCTGAAACTTAGAATAACGTTGTTCCAAGTGAACAGTTTTTAAGCATGCTCGTCATTGAAGTATTCTGGCGACCTCCTGTGCACATTTCCACCAACAAATAATTACAAATGTGGCAGGATTTCTTTGCTATAAAAATATTCTATGAGGATAGCGATCAAGTCTTATTTACATTAATTTCCCTAGCAATAATGAGCCAGCACATATTAGTTGCTCATTAAATATTTGCTGAATCAGGGGGTAAGCAAAGAGGAACACTGGGAAAATAGCTATTTGGCGGCCCTTTCCTGATCCCACCAAAACATTTAAAGGTGTCAGCACAGACTTTATGACACTGCGACATATGCCATCAGACATTAAGAGAAGAGTTTTGTAAGCCATTAACTTCCTTAGCGGTGCTTCTCAAAATGTGGTCTACAGGTACCAAAACGGTAACCTGTGGGGAACTTGTTAAAGATGTGGATTCCTGAGCTCTACCACAGACCTACAGAATCAGACTTTTTAGAAGTGAGGTCTGGAAGTATTCATTTTAACAAGCACACTAGATGGTTTTTACATATCCTAAACTATCCTTCTAGAGACTGATTGCTTCCTACTAGATACTACACCTGCAGTTCAGGGAACTACTTCCAAGTGGCTTAAAGAAATAGCAGACCATCTCACGTGTCAGAGTAAATGACCATAGCACTAGGATATTATAAGGCATATGTAAACAAGGGGTTTCAAGGTCAACTAAGTCTAAAAATGCTGAATTAACATATATACAAATAATCCTAACAGCTGCCACCTACTGAGCCCTTACTATGTGTCTGGCATTTTACTATGTGCTTTACATAAATAATTTTAATTAATTTTCATAATGACCCTATGATGTAGGTGACAACATCCTTAGTTTACAAATTAGGAAACTAAGGCTTACAGAGAGTCAGCTGCCCAAGGTCGCAATACCTGTAAATGGTAGATCTGGATAAATAAATTGTGGTATATCCGTACAATGAAATACTACTCAGCAATAAAAAGAAACGAACTATGGATCACACAACAACATGGATGAATCTCAAAATAATTATTCTGAATGAAAGAAGCCAGACTGAAAAAAAAAAAAAAATACATACTGTATAATTCCATTTATACAATACTCTAAAGAATGCAAAATAATCAACAGTGACAAAAAGCAGATCAGTGGTTACTGGGGATAGGCAAGTGGAAAGGGGCTGGAGGGAAGGATGACAAGGGACACCAGGAAACTTTTAGGAGTGATGGATATGTTTACAATAATGACTGTGGTGATGGTTTCAGGGAATATGTCAAAACATCCAACTCTACACTTTAAATATGTATAGTTGTCTGTATATCAATTATACCTCAATAAAGCGGTATAGAGACAGAGAGAGAGATGGAGGGCCTAAATATAAAGTGGTATCTCCTTAACTCTTGTTTTATTTAATTTCATCTTCTGTTCTTAACATATCTTTCCCCTTTCTCTTTCTGAAGCTGAGCAATTTATTATGGAACATAACAGAATTGGTTAAAATACAGCCACCAACTGATTTGTAGAGCTCTTACTCTGACCTCTAAAACTGAGGAAGAAATAACATAAGCCTATAATGATCACCAACAGTGAATCACTGTTCTTTCAAAGCACTACTAATGTTGTTGCTATCAAAAGATTAGGACAAAAATTGGGAAGAGAAAAATAAATGCTGAATGAATCCATGTATAACAGACATTTCTTGAGCACTGGTAATGTGCCAGACACTTTTAGGCACCAATTTTTTTTTTAAATGCATAAAGCACAATTCAAGCAAGTACAGAGGTGACACTAATAATTGGAGTACTGCTGATATAAGGAATGCTATTGTTCCTCCATAACCACAGTTAAGTGGGGAAGTCTTAAAAGAGAAAATGAAGAGGCGTGTCTGTAAGCTATCAAGGTAACAAACGAATAACAAAAACAGTGGATTGAACAGTTAGGAAAGGAAACATTCAAATGGAGGAATATAAAACCATAATGTCCTTCAGCACAATCGGTACAAAAAGTGCCAAGGATTTACAATCTGAAGCCTCCCTAAGAGAGTTATCCGGTTTAGACCAACCTTGTAAATAGTTTATCTCCCAAGAAAACAATTTACAGCCAACTGTGGATTAACCACAGTTAAAATAAATACTAAACACTGACTTTGTTTTTAAAAAAGCAACTTTATATGAATCAGGTAAACGTTTAAATAGTAGGCATCTACTGTTCGGATTAAGAGTAACTAACAGACATTAAATTGCCTCAGCAATATGGTAAGACCTCCCTACCCTACCCTATGCAGGGTAATGAATTACTTAATATGGTCCTTCTAGTCATGGTCTTTGTGACTCACACACAATGACTGAGTGGGACTATGCAAATAAGGTATATGGAGAAGCCCTGGTGGCACAGGCTGTGCAAACCCTATGGGGCAGTTCTACTCTGTCTTATAGGGTTGCTACTGAGTCAGAATCAACTCGACGGAAATGGGCTTGCACTGAAACCTGTGATGGTTGAGGTTATGTATCAACTTGGCTAGGCCATGATTCCCAAAATTATATGGTTGTCCTCCATTTTGTGTTGTGGATCCTGACCTCTACATGTTGATGAGGCAGGATTGGTGTAGGGTGTGTCCTGGGTGGCAGCCTTGCAGGAAGGCGTGATTCAAGTCCCACCCTTACTCAAGTTATGCCTTTCCTCGGGTGTGGCCTGCATCTAAGGTATACGGGTGGACCACCTGGTGGGGCTCTCTCTCTGCACCTGGATCCCACGTCCGGTTTGTGGTCAATGGCGTCCGATTCTTGGGACTTGAGCCAAAGGCCTGCTGTCTGATCTGCCGATTCTGAGATTCACCAGCCTCCACAGCCCCGTGGGCCAGCCTCCATCTTCTGACCTGATTCGCCAGCTTCTGAAGTCTTGTGAGCCCCCAGCCTATGGTTTGAACTGCTGGTTTGAGTTCATCAGCCCGTGTAGCCACATGGGTCAGGAGAAGCTGATGCCTGACCCACGGATTTGGGACTTGCCAGCCTCCACAACCGAATGAGTCATTTCTTTTACATGGTTTTTCAGTTCTGTGAGAAGTTGCAGGGAATTATGGAACCCAAAGATGGGAGGAAGAGTACTGAGGGGAGCGGGGTAGTTGATGTTAGAGATGATCGAGTGGTTCAGCAGTTTGGAAAAGTTGGACATTTAGGACATCTTTAACCTCTGCCTCATAGGAACCAGCCTTGCGCTGATCCTTATAAAAGAAATTATTCATTTATCCCATCAATGAAATGAGCAAGCCAGTGGGAGCAGTGCCTCTCCCTCTGCCAGCAGCCTCTCAGAATGGGGAAGGATGGCTGGAAGGAAGCAGAAGACAAGGGGAGTTCTGAAGTCTAACCCTGCAGGGTCAGGTAGTGAGGGAGCACACAGGTGGGGATGTGTCTCAATGAGATACTGAAAAAAAGAAAAGGTCAGCTAGGAAGTAGACAAGGATACCCATTTGGCAGTTTTCTGTCAGGCAATTCCTAAACTTTTATACACACATGTATCATTTTTACCCTGTTAGCGGCAGTAGAACTCAGTGTGTCAGAGAACACCTCTGAAGTCAGAATGCACACGTTTGAATTCCAGCTTGGAGTCTTATCAGCTCTGCCACCTTGGCCAAGTTACATTACCTCTTTGAAACAGTTTTTCATCCATAAAATGGGACTAAAAAATAGTACCCACCTTGAGGATTTCTGTGAGGATTAAATGACATAGCATAGTTACCATGCTTAGCAAAGTAAGTGTTTAATAAACATTCACTATTATTGTTTTTATATCTGCAAATGATCATTGTATTCCTCAAAACTGGATGCAATTTACTAAATATAAACATATTAAATCCTTTTTGTACCAGTTTTGAGTACTCATTGTTCTTTTTTTTTTGTTTTCATTGTTTAAATCGCTGACTTGAGGTTACTCATGACTAACTTCTGCCTTGTCTTATCCTTGATTAATCAGGAAGGAATGAAATGGACCATTATTAAGTATCCTGGATCAAAACTGGTAGTAAGCTGGGATTTACCTGGTGATCAAAACATAACTTCATTTTGAAAGTATCTTGCCCAGTACTTTTTTCAGGCTGGCCTTTAGGGGAATAAATGCTAAAAAGAATAAAATTAAAGTTTGAAAAAACTGAAACCCTAAGGTATTTGTATTTTCAGATTTCTGCCCTATATGGAAAGTTGATATGTTATCCTGAGAACACTCAACTAGCAAACAAACAAAGAAACAAGTACCTACCACCTTCTGTGGACCTTTAATTTCTGAACATTCCTCTAGTCTTTTTAAAACATCCTGGGTACTGGAGAGTGCGTCTGAGAAGATACTTTCATTTTCCAAAAGAAAATCCAGCCGGTAGTGTTTCCTCTCATACTCTAAATGTTAAAAAAAAAAAAAAAAAGATCAGCCATTCATTACTTGAAGTGATTAAATAAAAGTTTAAGCTGTCTGTGGAAAACCTTCAGGTCACCTGCTGCATTTAACTGTCATCTAGCATGTAACACACAACGTCTCTCTCAACTTCATCTTATGCTCAGCCTGGTTAATATAATGGATAATTACCAGAAATGGTACATCATTATCTTAGTACTGCTCTTCTACTCTGTAATTCATCTTCAGACTTCCAACACTCAAAAACACAGACACTTTTAAAAGAAGACTGGCCCAGTAAGAGTACTCCATTGGATTTTGATCTCCTAGCTAACAGTGGTCTTTAGTAAATTTATCTATGAAACCAAAAAGTTCATAAAGATCACTAAATTTACTCATTGACAAGGGAAAAATGGGTTACAAAACAACTACTGAATGGACATTACCTGGTTCTGGGCTTGCCTCTGTGGCCTCACTAAAGGTTTGTACCACAGGGGAAGGGGAGCAAACCTCCGCTGCACTGGGAGTCTCTGCAGGCGCTTCTGTGCTCCTTGGCACCTCCTGGGCAGTGGGAGGCTCCACATGCAGCTCTTGTGCAGCCATCTGGGCTGCCTCCTCTGTCTCGGCTTTCACGGGGCCCCCTGGAGGGGCAGAACCCTCAGGGAGAACACGGGGCTCTCCAGCACCCTCAGAGGAAAGGATTTCTACTTGAGGCTTCTCAGGTTCCTTCCTGAATGACTCTGGGGATGGCACAGAGACATCTCTCACCACCTGACCCTGAACGGAGCAGTTTACGAGGCTGGTCAGAAGATTTTTACAGCTAACAGCCACATCAAACATCTGTAGGCTGTCGGCTAAAGAGATGATTTTGGAGAAGTTGTGCTTGCCCACAGGTAGTTTGCCTGTGTACATCATTTCTAACAAGAGGGCAAACTCCTCGGGGCTCACCACAGAGGCATCAATGGAGATGGTGTCTGTGTTGTCCAGCAGGGTTTTGAACAGGAGGCTGGCAGCGGCCAGGACCAGCTTGTGAGCCCTGAAGTAAATGGAGCCAATGGAGATGGTGCAGTCACAGAACTGCTGCTCCTTGCACAGTGTGTAGAGCTGCTGCAGCAGCTGCCGGCTGTAGTTGGGGAGCTCCATCGCATCCACTCTGTCCTTAGGACTTCTCTTCCTCTAGAGTCCACCTTGTGGGAATCAGCCTAGAAAAGTTTAGAAGATACCTTGTTAATACTTCAAGAGCACACAGTGAACACTCTGGATGAAATGCTAAGCAAACAAACAGGTAATCACTCATTCATTCAACAAGTGTTGCTCAATAGGATGGGACACCATGCCAGGTATACTAAATTAATGATAATTATAATAATTATCATGTGCTTAGCTATATGAACAGAAGTATGCCTAATGCTCTATATGATCTCATTTAATCCTTATGACAACTCTAGTCAGAGTGATCTTTTCAGCACATAAGCCACTTCTTTGTACAAGTGTTCAACGGCTTTCATTTCAGAGTAAAAGCCAAAGTCCTATAATACCCTACACAAAGCCCTTCATGATCTCACTTGTCATTGGCTCTTTGATCCATCTTGTCCCACTCTCTCCCTTACCCAGTCTGCCCTAAGCACACTGCCTTCCTTGCTGTTCCTAGAACATAGTAAGCATGCTTCTGTCTCAGTGTTTCCTGACCTCTCTGCACAGCTCGCTCTCTCACTTACACAACTTCCCTGCTCAGAAGCCACGTTAGCAATCACGGCTTCCCTGACCATGTTCTTTAAACAGCAACCTCAGGATGTCCCACACCCTCCTTACTCTGCTTTATTTTTCACCACAGTACTAACCACCTACTGACATACTGTATTTTTATTTGCTTATTACCTATCTCCTTTCACTAGAATGTAAGCTTCATGAGGGTAGGAACTTTGATTTATCATCTGCTGGGCTTAAAATTCTACCTGACACAATATTGTTGGTTTGTTGGTGGGAAGAATAAATTGACAGAGGAAAATGTAATAACAGAGATTTGCACACAAATATCCAATTTGAGGGATACAGGAGTCCAGGAGTTAGAGTCAAGATTTGAGGAGATTGACCTGTGTCTTAAAACGTTAAGTAGGCACTGATGAGGTAAAAAGAGGGGGAAAAGAAAGCATTCCAAGCAGGGAAGCTTGCGTGAGCACAGTTAAGAAACCATCACGTAGTAAAAGGGAGGAGGGTGAGGAAGCAAGTTATGAGGAGTTCAGTGATACTGCAACATAAAGCAGGGGACAGGAGTGTCAAGAGATGAGTCTGCAGAGGGAGGCAGGGTCCTGGCCACAGAGGGATATACAGACTGTGCTTAGGAGCTTGGATTTTAACCTAAAGGCAATGACGAGCCACTGAAGGGCTTGAAGAGTCATGTGGTCAGATACACATTTTAAATATATCACCTAAATGATATGTGTACAGTATTTGAGAGGGATAATGCCGGAAACAGACTCCATTACTGCAGGAATTCAGGAGAAAAACCAATGAGGGAATAGAAGAGAGAGGAGGAGAAAGCCAAAGATATTTAGAAAGTATAACTGCCATGATTTAGGATCTGAATGGAGGTGAGGGAAGGAGCGTTAACTCCCAGGTTCCTGATTTGGTGAGTGAGTAGATGATGGTGCCACCACCTGATCCAGATAAAACAAGAAAAGATAGTTTAGGGAAGGAGACAACTAGTTCAGTGTTGGATTTGAGGATGTTACAATGATAACAAAATTGTACAATCTCCCTTGTGTAAGGAAAAAAATTACATTGAGAATGGAAAGACATATGTCAAAATAATAACAGTGATTGGCTTTGTTTGCAGAATTACCGATGGTCCCCCTACCCACTATTTCTTTATATTTTTGAACGTTTGGAATGGGCAAATAAAAAAAGAATGTAAAAAAATGAATGTAAATTTTTCAGTTCTAACCATCCCAAAGCCCACCTATGTCCACCTATGTCACAGCACTGAACATTGTGGGGCATTCATGAATTCATATAATTTTCTCAGCTTCCTCAAAGGGGGTCTTTGAAAACATCTAGCCCTGCTGTTTGAGTATAGTTTCTGTTTTAATATTTCAGCCATTATAAAATTGCACACAAGTTTTTTTTCTTTAACAGACAAAGAAACTGAGACCTAGGAGGTAGGTGACTTGCTGTTAACAGTAGTAACAGCGGGAGGAAGGATTGGAATTCTATCTCCTGGTACTTGTGAAAAACAGGAAAAAAAAAAAAGAAGTCATAAGATTTAAAACGGGCAAAAGCAGGAGCTCTTTTTAGAAAGGGGACAACTGGAAATTTAAAAATTAACTTATTTTAATATCTGTGAAAATATCAGAACAAGAATTCAATTTGCAGATAACACACAAAGGTAAACTACAAAACAGGCACTGATGTGGTTTTTTTTAAAAGGACAAATTATATCAATGTAATGTGATTATTTTTTCCTAAGACAAGAGTGATGATAGGCCTTTGGATTACATAAATCAAAAAGCATGTCTGGACATACATAAGATCTTTTTAAACATTCTTATTAACAAGAAACAAGTGAAAGGGACGGTATTTCAGGCAAATTAAAACTTACTTAAAAGGTTATTTTATGGTCATTTTTCTAGAGGGTATCCACATCTGTCATCAGATTAAAAAATAAGACCCCCCAATGATACAGAAGGAGATAGTTTGCGTATTAATCACAGGACCAGAAATATTTTGTATCTTTGTTAACAACTAAACTAGAAGAGAAAATAACAGAGTAAATTTAGCAGAATAAGCAATTGGTCAAGTTTAAAAAAAAAAACTGAACAGAATTCTGTGGCTTACCAATACAGAGAAATATTAAAAACATGGCTAAAAGTTTGAACAAAAAAAAAGGAGAATGGGGATAGTTAAGCCAGAAAACACTCAAGGGCGGTCAAGCACTACATAATGAATGTAAGCTGGCAATGTTGAAAATTAAAATTTTACTGAGATTAACAGAAATACTAAGTAAAGAACAGATTTTTGGCAAAATGGCACACTAAAATGATGTAAATAGGCCTCTTCTCCTACTACAAACCCAGAAATGCTGGATAAAACATAACAAAAATGCTTTTAAAATACGTAGTCAAGCTAAAAAAAAAAAAGAAAAAGAAAAAAAGGAAAATTCCCAGGCACCTGAAATAAAAGAGACATCAAAACCAAAGATAGAACAGTGAGTTTGAGCTTAGATCAGGGTGGTCAGTAAGGGTTTCAAACTCCCTATATAAGCCCCGGGCTTGGAGAAGGAAGCATTAATGCTCACTTAGAGACCGGAAATCCAGCTCAAGCAGGCAGAAGGTAGGGGCATTGGCACTGACATCCTTGTATAAGCCCAGAGCCTCACAAGCCTATCCCTCCTTGATAAGAAGTCTAAAAAATCTCTGCTCACTGGCTCAGGGAAGCAGCAATAAAAGTTGTTAATTATCCAGGCCTTGAGTAGAAGGAGAAAAGGCACCCACAAGAAATTTAGAACATAGCCTATGCCATACAGAGGTGTAGGATCCAAATTTACACTCTGTATCACATAGGAACCCTAAGCTGAGAAATTAACATAAAAATTGGTCTCTGGCACACAGCAGAATAATCCTGAAACCATTCTATTGGAATACATTCATAACCCAAGGCACAGGGACTCTCACAGGGGGAAAAAACGTACAGAAAAGAAGTTCACTATTACAAACCGTACAAGGAAGACCAGAATGTGAAAGGTAAAACTATAAAGGCTGAAAGTAGAAAATGTCAGAGGGTATCTTTGTAGTTGGGGTAGGTAAAGACTTCTTAAACAATGTCCCAAAAGCAAAAAAAAAGAAAAAAAAACCCAAAGATTAATTAGTCATCAATATTAAAGGTTTCCACCAAAGAATTCTACAAACATGATTAACAGAAAAGTGGCAGAACTGGAAGGGGACACCTACAAATTTTAAAGGCAACAAGGAAGTAATATCTAGAATATATATGAAACTTCTGCAAATCTTAAGAAAAAAAAAACTGAAATCCAAGAAAAAGTGGGCAAATGATATAACTAGGCAATTCAGAGAAGGGGAAGCTTAATTGGCTAACAAGTAGTAATAGTATTTGTTATTTTAATAGTAGTAATCATAGCTAACATTTATTTGATGCTTATTATGTTCAAGCGTTCTATATGCTTTACGTATATTAACTCATGTTATCCGCTTAAAAACCTGATAAGGCAGACACTGTTATTTTTTTTTTTACTGATGGGGAGAGTAAGGCCCAGAGAAGTTAAGTAAATTTTCCAAAGTCCCAAAGTAACACATGGCAGAATCTGAATTTTAACCCAGGGCAACACTGGTGGGAATACAAATTGATCTAGCTGTTATGGAAAAGAAATCTGGTAATATTTAGTAAAATTATCCATGTATATACTCTTGTGACCCAGGAATCATACTCCTGGGTACATATCCCAGAAAAAAATTCTCACGTAAGTCCATAAGGAAACATGCTAGAAAGATCATTGGGACACTGCTTGTGGTAGCAGGGAGATGAGAGGTAATTTAGATGTCCTTCACTAAAAGAATGTATAACTAAATGTGCAGGATGTATTCTATGGAAACAGTGCATCAGAAAGAAGGAACAACTGGCTATATGGACAGCAACATGGATAGATCTTAAATATTCAGTGCTGAGTGAAAAACTAAGAAAAAGAATGAGATCTAGAGCATAATGTTATTTGGCTACCTTAAAAACACATAATCAAAACAATACTATATACTGGATAAGGCTAATCACCAAAGATGTTTTATCAAATATATTAGAGTAGGTGCCTACTGGAGGGGGAAAATGAGAGTAGGGTTTGGCAATCAGGGAGGAAAGTAAAATAAAATAAGAGGGGCCTTGCCCAGATGGATAAATGCTAGAGTGCCACAAAATGAGGAGGCACCCCATACCCTCAAAAAGTGCAAAAAAAAGTCCATGAAGAAATGTAGGAAACAGGAGAAATAGTATTCCCCTAAAAATGAAAACCATAAAAATAGTCTAAATTAATTGTTTCACTATAACAAAAAGGCAAAATGAAGAGAAGTCATAATGAAAGAATAGGACAACATGTAGAAGAATATGCAGATGTGAAAAAAAAGCTAAAAAAAAAACTTCTGGGAATAAAAAATTAAGTCACTAAAATTCGCCCACTGATGAATTACACAGATAAGAC